TTTTTTTTTTTTCTTTTTCTGGTTTTTCTCCGGTACCGGGAACCGAACTCACGACCTTGCGCTTGCCAGGCAGGCGCTTTTGCCGCTGAGCTAAATCCCCAGCCCCCACACTCGGTTTTAACAGATGTGTTTGGAACCTCCGCTTTCTAGTCTCCAGGTCTCACACCTTTCCTGTGTTTTTAATCTCTCTGCCTTGTGCTGATAATTTCTTACAGCATTCTTCTAATTCTTGCCCCTGCTGACTTCTGCTTTTTGACCATTTGTTCAGTTTATTTCAATGCTTCTGCTCAGGGATAGAAGGCTGTGTTTGCTTTTTCTCAGTTTCCATATCTTTTTCTCCTGCTTTGATTCCTACTTTTTTTTTTTTCATTACATGAGATTGAACCCAAGGCCTTCACACTGAGCTACATCCCTAACTCAGTTTATTTATTGAGACAGAGTCTTGTGGAACAGCTACATTTCCCAGGCTGGGCTTGAACTTGTGAGCCTCCTGCCTCAGCTGCCCAGAGTGCTAGGAATACGAGCACGCACGAGGGTGGCCAGCACCATATTTCTATTTGGCCGGTCATAACCCAACTCACTTGTGATGTTTTTGATTGTTTCTCTTATCTGACTTCTGGGTAGTGCTCAGCTGCAGCTGCGCTGGTTTGGTTTTTTTTTGTTTGTTTGTTTGTTTTGTTTTCTGTCATGTGCTTTGTGATTTTACGTGGTGAGCCGATCCCTGATCTTCAAGTTTACTGGGGCTGCACTGTCTCTCTGTAAGCTTTGGCCTCCGGGTCCCAACAGAATGGCTTCACATTTGTGTCACTGTTCGCCCCAGGAATATCGCCAGCATGGGGTTTCAGAGCAGCTCCTACCTTGGCAGCCCCAGGCGAGGTCAGACCTCCTGAGACTGAGTAAAGTTCTGAGACTCCTGTTCCCTAAAATGGCTAATCGAGTGTTTTGATGCACATTGGTTTGGGGATTTCCAGTTCCACTCCTCACCACTTGGAGGACCCTTGCCCTCACGGGAGGGAACTTTTGGGGGGTTTGGGGGGATCTTTTTCAGGCAGGGTTTCACTATGCAGTCCAGGCTGGCCTTGAACTCACTTTGTAGACCAGGCTGGCTTCAAACTCACAGCAATCCTCCTGCCTCAGCCTCCCAAGTGCTGGGATTACAAGTGTGTGCCACCATGCCCAGCCATTTACTTGAGGGATATTTATTTTTTGTTTTTTTGAGACAGGGTCCGCTATGTAGTCCACGTTGACCTAGAACTCTTGCTTCCTTTTTAAACATTTTATTAGCATATATTTGTAGTATACCACGTTCACATTCATCTTAGGGAGCAAGTACATGTGCTTAACACATCTTGGTTCTGTTCTTCTCTCTTTCCTTCCTCCCTCCATCCTTCTGTCTCTATAGATGTCCTTCCATTTCCCAGCGATGTATCTGTTTCCTATGGCCTTTCATTTAGTTTATTGAAATTATTTCTCATGTCCCCCTCCCCACTAGGGACTGTTGAGTGTTTGGATAAAACCCCCAAAGGCAGAGTGATCAGGTGACCAACCGAGGACAGGTTGTCCCCTCCCTGGCAGCCACATGTGGCCTGGGGCTCAGCCTTGTCCTCCACTAGGGAGACTCGGGCATCTGACACCTAAGGCCAGAGCTGTTCCCCTGGGACCCCTTCCCTGAAGGGCTGCTGCATCGGCGCGCTGCGTGGGGCCTCTCCACTCTGCACCTGAATTCCAGCCTCGCCCATCTCCTTCCAGTCCGAGCTGGAAGTTTGTACATTAATCTCTCTAAGCCTCTGCTGCTTTCTGTGTAGTCATGGGTGTCTTGTGACCAGGCATGATGGTGCACACCTGTGCTCCCAGCCCTCTAGGAGGCTGAGGTAGGAGGACCACAAGTTCCAGCCCAGCCCGGGCAACTTAGCAACTTAGTGAGACCCACGTTTCAAAATTTTAAATTTAAAAAGGCCTGGGCAGGGCCGGGGATGTAGCTCAGTGGTACAAGCGCCTGCCTGGCAAGCACAAGGTCCTGAGTTCAATTCCCCATACCACAAAAAAAAAAAAAAAGGCCTGGGGTATAGTTCAGTGTGAAGGCCCTCGGTTCAACCCCAGTACTGGGCCCAAAAGAGATAAAGTACATTAAACTCTTAACATGGTATCTGGTATGTAGCAGACACTCAAAAAGTATAGAGTCCTTATTCTAGAAAATCAGAGCCAGGACATGGTGGTATATTCCTTAGTCCTAGCTACTCAGGAGGCTGAGGCAGGAGAATCACCTCAGCCCAGGAGTGTGCAACCAGCCTAAACAATATAGTGAGATCTGAATCTCAAAAGAGGAAAAAAAAAAGGGCTGGGCATGGTGGAGCATGCCTGTAATCCCAGCATTTGGGAAGCTAAGGCAGGAGGATCACTTTGAGTTTGAGGCCAGCCTGGACTAAACAGTGAGTTCAAGGCCAGCCTGAACTACATAGCAAGACCCTGACTCGAAAAACTAGAAAATTTAGAAAGCTCAGGAAAGTATAAAGGCGGTAATACGTCCCTGTCCTCTGACAGTTATTAGCACGTTGCTGTCTCTCACCTTACCGTACACACAGGATGAAGTCAGCACTGCTTTCCCATTCGACTGGCACCTCAGCTGCCATCACAAAAGCACCAGACTGCAGCTTCCGCAGCTGATGTTCATACTTTCAGGGTAGTGGGCCAGAAGTCTGGGATAGGGGTGCTGGGGGTGGGCTCTGGGTGGGCTTCTCCTTTATAGATGGTCCCCTTCTTCTCAGTCTGGGACTCAGAGAGAGTGATGTCTTTGGTGTTCCTGCTTATAAGGGCATTCATCTTCTAGGCAAAGTGGTGCACACCTGTAATCCCAGCACTCTGGAGGCTGAGGCAGGAGGCTCACCATGAGTTTCAGGCCAGCCTGGGCTACATAGCAAGACCCTGTCTCAAAACAACAATAATAATAATAATACTAATAATGCCATCGTGAGCCCCAGCCATGACCTCCTGTAACCCTAATCTGCTCCTGAAGTGCGCACCTCAAATACCCTCGCATTGGGGCACGTCCCGGAGGGGAGGCGCATTCAGCCCTCCGTTCGGAAGCCTGTTTGTGGGACCCAGAGAGCGGGAGGATGGAGCTCTTCCCTCACAGACCCGACCTCAGCAGGGTGGGGTGGGGCTCCGCTAAGGGTGCCTGGGCCCGGGCCAGCGCCCCCCACGCCAGCCCGAGTCTCCTCTGTCCCCTCCCGCCGCAGGTGGCCATGGCCGGTGTCACGCTGTCGCCCCCAGTCACGTTCCACCTGCGGGCCGGCTCAGGCCCCGTGTTCATCAGTGGCCAGGAGTGTTACGGTGAGTGCTGCGAGCCAGGCTGGGAGCTCGGCCCCGAGGGGCAAAACCCCAAAGGCGATGCCACTGCCAGTAGCCCGAGGTGGTGGACCAGTCCAGAGCCCAGGCCCCCTTCACCGCCACCGCCACCGCCACGTCCTCTGAGGCCTCAGCAGGGCTCATCCTCAAGAGTAGCTGCAGGGACAAACGGAGGACTCATAAGGAACACTTAGCACAGCACCTAGTACTCAGCAGCACTTACACCCCAGCTGCCAGTACCTGTGAAGTGACAGAACAGAGCGGACCCGGGGCGACTTCACCGCCTTCCCCCGCCCCTTCTCTTCCGCCTCACCCCCACCCCTTCCTGGCCCGCGCCCTCGGCCTCCAGCCGCACCTTCCTTCGCCGCCCAATCCGATTCCATCCGGGCCTCCTGATGGCAGGGGCAGGACAGCGCTTTCAGCCCCAGGCGGGGGGGCCCCCAAGTCCCCCGGGGCACGGAGGTCGGGGGAGGAGGGGGGCCCCGAGTCTGGAGTTGAGTTTGGAGCTCGTTCACCCCCGCTCTCTCTGCCCCTGCCCTGGCTGGTGCAGCTACAGAATCCTCAGACCCCACGTCGGAAGAGGAAGAGGAAGAGGAGGAGGGAGAGGAGGATGAGGAGGAGGAAGAAGAGGAGGAGGAGGCGGAGGCGGATGTGTCTATGGAGGGCACTCCTTCCAAACGAGCCAAGCGGCTGGTGCTGCATAAGCAGACCAGCACTGCCAAGGTGGGAAAGGAGCCAGGCTGCTTGAAGCGCCGGGGGGCGCTGCTTGGGGGTGCTGGGCCCCCTGAGCCTGGGCCGGGGTATGGGATGGGCGAAGGCCATGGCCCCCAGGTCCTGCCCCAGGTCCAGCTGGGAGCGCATGAGTGCGGTTTAGGAGTTGCTTCTGGCCCAGGCCTCACCCTACTCTCATACTAACTTTGGTTCCCAGAAAATAAAGGTGGAAAGAGAAGACGACCCGGCCCCAAGGTAAGTCCTTCCATCTTTTAAAAAAAAAAGTTTGGTTTTGTTCTGTGCTTCCTGGGATTGCACCCGGAAGCATTGAGCTATATCTCCAGTCCTTTTAATTTTTTATTTTGTTTTTGTTTTCGAGACAGGGCCTCACTACGTAGTTTAGGCTGGAGTTGAACTCACTTAGGTAGCCTAGGCCAGCCTCGAACTCCCTGCAATCCTTATGCCTTAGCCTCCTGAGTGCTGGGATTACTCACCCTGCCCCACCACACCTAGCACTTGATTTTTTATTTTGAGACAAGGTCATGCTAAATTCCCCATATTGGCCTTAAACTTGTGATCCTCCTGCCTCAGCCTCCAAATTCTGGATTTACAGGCATGCGCCACCATGCGCAGTGAGATCCATAGTGCTAGAGAGTGGTACATGCACAGAGATTACAGCACTGGAGGTTGGCATAACTCTCTTAAAGCGTGAAAATGCTATCTTCTGACCTAATTCAGTTAGGCAATTTCTTCCAAAGAATGAGATGAGAGCTGGGCGTGGTGGCGCACTCCTGTAATCCCAGCACTGGGGAGGCTGAGGCAGGAGGATTTTTGCAAGTTCAGGACCAACCTGGGCTACAAAATGAGCTCAAGGACAGCCTGAACTGCATAATGACACCTGTCTCCAACAGACCAAAAAAAAAAAAAGATGAGAGAGATTACTGTGGTACCTCGGTTCACAAACTTAATTTATTTCACGAATCTGCAAAAGATAGCCACATTTGTGTGGAAAAGACCGCGGTGGTGTTCCTCATCCGATGTAGTTTGGAAACAAAAACAAAATTTTACCAGACGCGTTTGTATGTGAATCAAATTGTTCTGGCATCAGGCTGAGCCCTCTCCCTTGGCCAGGTGCAGTGTCTCCAAGACCCCCTCGAAAAAGGTAAGCGGGAGCAGGAGGGTGAGGCACGGGTTCTGGGGAGACAGACGGGCGGAACAGAGAAGATGGAGCGTCCCTTGTCCCCACAGGGGAAATATTCAGAACGACCTAGGAAGCCGGAGGCCAAGAAGAAAAGTGCCAACAATACCCCGTGATCCCTGAAGGCCTCTTCCTCCAGCCGTGCTGTGGAGCAACCCCCACCCTCATCCCTTCTCCTGAGCCCCAAGGTGGCCTGGTGTCGTGCACCACCATCCCTCCAGGGTCAGAAAGCCCCGCGGAGACCACAATAAAGTTTGCTTTGTCATGCGCTGTCCGCCTCTTACCTGCAGCCTGCAGAGGGCGCCTGCGAACCAGTGCAGCGGGCCCCGCGCCCGCGGCCCCGCCCCTCCCTCAGCCCCGCCCCCGGTGCCTAGCGCCCGGCTGCCCCTCTCCCTCTGGACAGGACCTGGATTACAGACACCGGACTTCCGGGTTACTCTTCCTCCCGCTACCTGTAAAGGGCCTCAGCCCTCCCGCAGCTGTCACATGTGCAAGCATCATCAGGACCCTTGGGGCATGGCCCGCCCAGGTTTCCTGTTAGGGCGCTGACCCCATGTGCCAGCCAGGTGCTGGGTGAGGCCAACAGACAAGACGGGGTGGTTGAGCGCTGTCAGGCTCCGACCTCCCACCCTCTCCAGGTCAGCAGAGCGACTGTGGAGCCCCAGTCCCCATTGGGTGACGCTGGCTTGGGCCTGCCCCGGGAGGGCAGCGGATGCGTCCAGCTGGTGGCTATTCTGTGCAGAGCCCTGCCTCTCTCTAGCACCCCCATGGCCGGGGTTTAAGTGACTGGGTGGCTGCCCAGGTTCCCCACCTAAGGGTCCCAGAAGCCCTGAGGTCTTTGGTTCGGCATGGGAAGGGCAGCACCAGGCTTTGGTCTCCTGGCAATCTCCCTGGGGGCCTGGTAGGCAGCCTGTGCTCGCTGAGCTTGGCTTTGGCCACAGCCACACAGGGTGGACGAATTGGTGCCTCGCCCGCTGGTTGCCTGCCGTCCAGAGGCAACACAAAACCAGCCCTGAAACTTCAGTTCCTGTCCAGTGCTTTGGGAAGTAGAGCAGGCTCACGTCCTGGTGGGAGGGGCTGCTGGTGAGGTCTGAGGAGGCCCCCGGAGCAGGCAGCTGCCCAGCAGGGGTGGGGTGGACAGAGGACACTCACAGGGACACAGTGCAGAGGCCTGAGACAACGAGCTTGGCGGGGCTGGGAAAAGGAACACTGAGGTGACTGCAGTAACAGCCACTTACACAACACCATCCTCAGACTCCATCCTTTCATCCTCACAGCCATGCCTTGAGGATAGTGGTATCAGCCCCATTTCACAAATGAGGAAAATGGAGGCACCAAGAGTTTAAATAATTTGTTCCAAGGCTGCATAAGGAAAGAGGCCAAATAGTCTAACCTCTTGGGAGGGGGTGCTGGGAGTTCAACACACCAGGGTCTCACACTAAGCTACCAACCCTTTTATTTTGAGACAGGGTCTCTCTGAGTCATTAAGTTGCTCAGAATGGGCTCATATTTTCGATCTTCCTGCTTCAGCTTCCCAGAGTGCCTGGATTATAGGTGTGCACCGCCATGCCCGCTATGGCCTCAGAGCTCTTGCATCTGATCACTCTATTCTTTTTTTGTTGTTGTTGTTGTTGTTTTTCCAGTCCCGGGAACCGAACTCATGACCTTGCACTTGCCAGGCAGGCGCTTTGCTGCTGAGCTAAATCCCCAGCCCCTGATCACTCTATTCTTGCAGGAGAGATGGGCTAGAACACACAGCAGTCTTCTAAACTGAGGGCAGGAGTTAGAACAAAATCCACCCGACCATATAAGGGGAATCTAGAGGGACAGTGCTCCCCAAGCAGGTATTCATTCAGCAGGTATTTCCCGTCCCCAGGCAAGTGTAGAATCCACACCCCACAGGTAAACCCTGCTCATCTGATTTTGATGTGCAGGCAGCCAGTAGGGATCAAATGGGTTGGCTGTGCTTGTCGCCTTTCCCCTGCACAATCCCTTCAGCAGGAAAAGGATGGGCTGGGGCAGGAGCAGGTGGTGACAAGTAGCAGGTCCACAGGGAAGCTCTGTGTTTGCCGCAGCTGGTCTGTCAGGAGGAGCTGGTGAGAGACAGCCCCAGTTGGGGGGTGTTGAACTTGGCACTAGGGGGTGGAGATTAGCTATAGCAGCCTCGCCACTTCTCACATCCCTTCTCACCTGCAACTTCCCCCAGTAAATTTTTTTTTTGTCTTTTTGAGGCAGGGTCTTCTTATGCAGTTCACGCTGGCATTGAGCTTACTTGGTAACTCACAATGATCTTCCTGCCTGATGCAAACTCACAATGATCTTCCTGCCTCAGCCTCCCGGGTGCTGGGATTACAGGTGTGCGCCACCACGCCAGATTTTCCCCAGTAAAAGTTAGTGAGCCCTTGGATCTAGGAAGAAAATTGGCCATGGCTGAACCACCTAAGTGTCCTCCTCCTTGCAGCCTTTCATATTTCTCCGTGAGTCCTTAAATTGACATTCCTAGTGGCAGTTTGGACAGCATCAGTAGCAGCGTTTTTCTTCTTCTAGGAGAAGGACCCAAGACCAGAGGAGTGAAAGGACTTGCCGCAGGTCACACAGCCTGTATGGATGGAGATCAGGTCCGGAGTCCAGAGAGTGTGCTCAATACCACCCCGGCACTTGGAGCCCACCACTGGCTCCCCCAGGGGAACAAAGGCAAAAAGCCAAGAAAGGCAGGCCTGCAGGTGCGGTGGGAAGGGACAGGGAGCCAAAGATACGCACCCGTGAAGTGGGCTACCCTGCCATGCCCCAGAGCCCCCTGGCACCAGCCCCTGGCAGATCCCCAAGGCTGAGCTTGACTGCTGGCTGTTACCATGGAGACCCAGGCTGGCCAGTGACAGCAGGCTCTGTCCCCACCAACAGGAACCAGATGCTCAGCCTCAGAGGCCATGGGTATAGTGAGTGCCCCCCTGGTGAATGAACCCCAACACCCACCTTCCACCCCCAGCTCACTCCTCTAGCATGGAACCCGAGGTCTGAGCTGTCCCCTCTGACCTGTGGTTCCATCTGACCCTTGGGTGGAGAAGGCTGGGTGGAGGTAGCCTTTAGCCCCCTGCCTGGGAGCTGGTGGGGAGCTGCTATGAAGTCAAAGTTGTCCCAAAGAAGCAAGCTGTAGTCAGATGGAGAGATGGATTGGGGGAAACTTCCACCGAAGATGCAGAGATTAAAAAGCAGGCCTCAAATAGAGGGAAGAATGTGAGGAGGTAACTGGCCAGGAGGCTCAGCACAGGCTGAGGGGTGGGACAGGCTGGTGCGCGTTTGGAGATGAGGACTGTGTTCTGGGCGCTGGGCATCTGGCCCCTTACCCAGCTGAGCCACAAACCAGCTGCGGGATGCGAGGCAAGTCATCTGCCCTCCTTGGGTGTCACCAAGTGGAATGAGATGATTGAACCAGAAGATGGAGATCTGAGATCCCCTCCAGTCTGGACATTCTCTGAGTCTGATTCTGGAGCCCTGGATGCCCCCTGTTCCGGGGTGCGGGGGCTCACACTACCTGATGCAAACCAGCTCTGGCTGCTCACTCCGGGTGGAGCTGGAAAGCCCCTGTTGGAGCTGGCCAGAGCCCTGCAGGTCACCAGTGGTGTTTGCGTGTGGTTGTGTGTGCAGGCGGGGTGGCAGACCACTTTGTGGATTGATGGAGCTTAGGAAGGTGAGAGTTTCACCTCCCAATCAGCTGTTAGGTAAATAAGTCTACATCCGCAATGAGAACTCCAGGGAGCCAGAGCCTAGGAAGGGCTTCCTTCAGAGGCCCCCAAAACATCCACCCTTCCACCATCCACCCCCATCACCCACTTTTCTGCACAAGGGGACAGAGGAGAGCTGCCCATCATCAGCAAGGAGGGCATGGCCACAATCGTGGGGAAACCTGCTTACCCCATTTCCGGCTGGTTCATTCTGAGCAAATTACCCGCCAGCATGCCTCAGTTTCATCGACTACAAAGGGATAGCTGGCTCAGTACTGAGCAAAGGAGGACTGGAGGTCAAGTCTAGAGGCAGCTGGGCTCTGCACTCCCAGGCAGGAGGCATGGGGTGGGCACAGGGGCCTGAGGGATTGGGTGGGGTGGTGAATGGGGCTGGGTCAAAGTCCAGAGATCAAGGTCCTGAACATATTACAGATTTTGAGCCTGCTAAATGCTGCGTCTCTCGCCGGGTATGATGGTACACACCTGTAATCCCAGCACTCTGGAGGCTGAGGAAGGAGGATTGCCATGAGTTCGAAGCCAGCCTGGGCTACATAGTGAGTTCAAGTCCAGTCTGAACTACATAGCAAGAGCCCGTCTCAAAAAAAAGAAAAGAAAAGCCTCATCTCATCCAATCCTCCAACACCCTGAGGTATTACTGTTCCTATTTCTCAAAGGGGACTGCAGAGGCGTAAGAAAGCTTTTCTCAGATCTCCTTCTAAGACCCCCAGGTGCACCTTCCTCCCCACCTCGGCCCCAACCTGCTGCACCCATTATTAGCTGCTAGGCAGGGAGGTCTTAACCCCTCCTTCCTGGTGGCAAGGGGTGAGAGGCAGCGCCAGCGGCCAGAGGCTGCTCAAGCCAAGCCCACCCCTGCCCCCTGGAGGGAGGCTCCTCCTTTTAAGGTTGCTTCTGGGAATTCCCACCCCAGCCAGAACCTGCGACCCCAGCCCCGCTCCGTACCTGCAGCTCAGCCTTGCAGAGATGGGGCGCCGAACTTGAGGGTGGGAGCCGCTGACCCTGGAAGAGGGACAGTGCCCTCCTCCTGCCTCCTCCTGCCGGCCACACGCCCTGCACTGAGGCTGGCAGGTCCGAGTGGGTCAGGGATAAAACAGGAGCCCGCAGGGGCAGCCAGGCACTGAGAGAGCTCCTGCGGCTCCATCCCCAGCACCCGGGCAGCCCGGCCCAAGACTGGCAGTCCAGAGGGAGCAGGCACGAGTCCCCACTGGCGTGGGCTTTGTAGCCTCACTGGCCAGGAAGGTAGACACCTCACACCTCAGTCTCCCAATTGCGCCCTCCTCCCCTCCTCCCCTCTCGTCTCTCTTCTCTCTCCTCCTCTCCCCCCTGAAAACCTGTGGCTTGGAGAGAGAGACCTTGGCTCCTCTGGGACTCTACCCTCGGGGCCTGCCCACATCTGCTCCTGAATTTGGGGGCAGGGGCGCAACCACCCCAAGAAGTCTCTCCAGCGATGGGAGCCGCCCGCCTGCTGCCCAACCTCACGGTGTAAGTGTCCCGCCTCTCAGGGAGCTCGGCCACAGGTCTGGTCCCACAGATCTGGTCCCGGGCAGCCCTGCCTCCTCCCTGGGACTCCCATGGGGTGGATGGCAGGTGGGGGGGGGGGCTGGGTGTGCCCCTGGGCTGGCCTTGGGCGCCCACACCCGGCCTGCTTCCTCTCCCCAAACAGGTGCCTGCAGCTGTTGATTCTCTGCTGTCAGACGCAGGTAGGCGCCCCCTGCCCAGACCTTCCCCATCTTTGCCTGGGAGGGCAGACAGGGGGACGCACCCCTGGGCCCAGGAGGTGCTGAGGTTTGCAGGTTGCCTTTCTGGGGCTGGAAGGAGAGGGGCTAAGGCAGGCAGGCCCCCGTCTGACCACCCTCCCCGCTGCCCCGGGTCCTGCTGCTCCTGCTCTCCTGGGCTCTGGGCTCCTGCCGGCAGTGTGTGGGACCTTCCAGACTTGGAGCAGCAGGAAGTGGGTGGAGGTGACAGCCAGGTGAGGCTGGTGCCTGGGAGTACCTGAAAAGACAGGTTCAGATCCAAAGCCATTTGTGTGGTCCGATCACCACCTGCATGGGCAGCAAGGGGGCACAGTCGGATGCCCAGGTGGGGTGAGGTGACTCCTTCCCTATAGGGCAATGAGGTCAAGACCAAAGAGGTCTGTTTGGGACCGATTCAGGGTTTGCTTCTGCACACTCCCCCCTCATGCACACCTCCCACCCCCAAGCCTCAGCCCCCCGTGTGAGGAGGCTCCGTCCTTTTTTGTGATACTCAGTAAAAGTGCAGCTATTAAAATGCACTGGTCCAGAACCGCTCCGGGGAGAGATGCCTGGCTTTCCCAGGCCAGAGGCCTGCATCTCTTCCTATCCAGTGGGGACTTTTTTTTAAGGTAAATGCCTTTTCTCTGGGAGAGGGAAAGAGTTGCCTTTGAAGCAGTGGGGGGGTGGGAGAGAGAGACAACCCCCCCTTTTCCTTCCCCCTTTTGCTCTAGCCCCGTTCCAGCCCTTTTGCTTCACACATCCAGGGAGAGCAAGAAGAAAGCCCCCAGCCTGGCTGGGAGGGGGCTGGGGGTGGGCCCAACCTGTTCTGGAAGGGGAATTAGCACAATGGTGCGGCTGGCTGGGGCGTTTATGGCCTGGCTGAGGCCCCATTCAGGACTTGGGGAAGGTGGCAAGGCTGTCCGTCCCCCCCTGAAGTGCCCCCTCACTCCCTGGGCGGGGCGGGGGGGCCCACAGGCTGAACCGCAGCCATGCTTGAGGGGCCCTCTGACAAGCAGCTGTCTGCGCTGGTGGAAGGGGAGGTCTCCCCCGCGGTGGGAACATGAAAGGCATAGGCAAGGTCCCTCGGGGAGAGGGACTTGTGGGCTGTGGGCTGTGGGGGGGCGTGGGCTGCTTTTGTGAAAGGCTTGAAGGGGGACAAGGAAAGGAGGGGGTTTCGGGGGGGGCTCTTTCTGCCCCTGACCTGGAGCAGACTGCCAGGAGGGAGCTGCCCGCCAAGAGGGGTGGAGGGCCTGAACCTGGGCCAGGAGGCTTCAGCCGGGACAGGCAGGTCCCCACCCCTGGCAGGGAGGCCGTCAAGGGCCAGCCCAGCAGGTCCTCTGCCCCAAATGCTCGCCTCAGACTTTCCCAGGGTGGGGTGCACGGTGGGTCCCAAAGGCACTGCTGTCCTCCGGGGGTCCGGGAGCACAACGGGAGGGCTTTGGGGACTGGCGCTGGGACTGGGCGGAGACAGGGGCAGGTGAAACTTCCCGCCTCCTTTGCCTGGCCCTCCCTGAGGATGGAGCGGCCTTTAAGAGATTCCCTGGCTGGGTCTCGCTCTGTCCAGATGGTTGGGATGGAGCCTGGGATAAAGATGGCATTAAGGACTGGGGACAGGCTGTCCCCACACAAGCCAGCAGGAGCCAACTAGAGAGAGAAACATAAATGAAACCCATTTCTGAGCTAGAGCGGAAGCCATTGCTGACAGCTGGGAACCATCATCTCGGCGGACACCTTGCGGCGGGTACCTTGCAGGAGGTGGGCACTTTGTGGGAGACAGGGTGGAAGGAGCCCGTTTCTCCCCCTGCTCGGCCCAGTGAAAACCATGCCCGTCCTGGCACCCTACAGGGTAGAAACGGTGGGAAACAAGAGGCCCAGCGCGAGGCAACATCCCCAACTGGCCAGCGCCCCTGTGACAGCGCGGCACGGGCCAGCAGGTGGCTCTGAGGCTCAGCAGCCTTTGGGCCTGGCTGACAGCACCTCCCACTGCCGCCTCCACCTCCCTCCTAACGGAGGAGGCCGCAGAGGAGGGCGGGGCCCGGGAGGGAGACCTGCTTTTCTGAGGCCCGGGCACCCCAGGCACGAGGCAGGCAGGACTGTAAAGAAATCCTTACAAGGGCTTACAGAACCTGAGGATAAGGGCCTAAAACACCCCAGAATGTCCTCCAGTGACCCTAGCTCAAAGCGCCTGGCAGGCCATCTGCTGTGGGCACGTGAGCTGGGGCTGAGGTCTTTCAGGGCCAGGGAGAGGATCAGGGAGGGATCTGTTTTCCTAGCTAACAGAGGCTCCCAGGACCCCGGAGGAAGGGAAAGGACTTCTGTTCCTGGCAAGCTCCATAGAGCACAGGGATGGGACACTACAACCCTGAAGATCCTCTCCAGCCCCCTGAGTTATTATTCTAGGTCTTATTGCATCCCCAAAGCACACACAGAACCAGGAGGGGTCTGACCGGATGCCACCTTCCCCTTGCACCTTCTGCTCCAAAGGATACATGGCCTGTGCTCACTGCACTCACCTCCACCCCTCTCCCCCAATGGACCAGCCATGGTGTCGCCCAAAGCAAATTGACACTATTTTTCCCTTGGTAACCGCAAAGGGGGAGAATCACCCGTCTCCTAATTTTAACCAGTACGTGAGGGACCAGGGCGCCATGACTGACCAGCTGAGCAGGCGGCAGATCCGCGAGTACCAGCTCTACAGCCGGACCAGTGGCAAGCACGTGCAGGTCACCGGGCGTCGCATCTCTGCCACCGCTGAGGACGGCAACAAGTTTGGTGAGACCTGGCCCTGCCCCTGGCTACTCTGGACCAAACCCAGATCCCCAGGCAGTGAGAGCAAGGGAGAAGGGTGCCCAAGGGCCTGTGGGCTGGGAGCCTAACACCTCCCACTCCTCTGGCCTGAGCCTGGAGGTCAGACTGGCTGGGGGTTCCCCGGCTGCACCCCAAACGGACAGAGGTCCTTTTCCCTTTCCATCACAGCCAAGCTCATAGTGGAGACGGACACGTTCGGCAGCCGGGTACGCATCAAGGGCGCTGAGAGCGAGAAGTACATCTGTATGAACAAGAAGGGCAAGCTCATTGGGAAGGTGAGGCCAAGGCCCAGGTGGCCACAGGGCAGCAGGCGAAGGGCTCTGTCCTACAGGGGTGGGGCCAGACAGGGCCTCGACATACCAAGGTGAGCTGAGCCCAGCCCATCTGAGGAGGAGTAGGGGCTTCCACAGGGCTGGGACTTCTTACCCTCTTTTTCTGCCCTCCGGTTAATCATTTTCTCCATTTAAACATGCAGCAATCTGTAAGAATCCTATGCTGCAGCCCCTGTTGAAGAGGGCTAAGGACTAACAAGGTTGAAAGCTGGCACAGATGGATAAGATCCTGGCATACCGATGCATGCCTGTAATCCTAGCCAGGTAGAGGCGGGAGGATTGAAAGTTCCAGTCCAGCCTGGGCAACTTAGCAGACACTGTCTTAAAATAAAACATAAAAAAAAGCTGAGACTGTAGCTAGCATGCATGAGGCCCGGGGTTCACTCTCGACTGTATGTACAATGCACACACAGAAGCCCCAGCCCGAGTTTAGGGCAGTCCATGGGCTCCAGCTGGCAAGATGCACTCCAAAGCACCTGCTGTGGACCCCCGCCTGACGCTTGTATATACCAGGTGCCCCCGGCTGGGCACTGACCCTTGCATTACCTACATTCAGGAAACTGAGGCTCAGTGGTCAAATAGCTTACTCAAGTGACTCAGCTGCCAAATGACAAGGCTGTATGTAAGCTTGTCAAACTTGGCTTTTTCCACTGCTGCCTTGTTTACAAGGACATCCCTGTCCCCAGGCAGCTCCTTGAGCTCACTGGCTCCACTGGCCTGTGCTGGGTGCTACAAAATAGGCCCAAAGTCAGAGAGCACAGACAGGAGGACAAACACCCCTCCTCTCCTCCCTTCCCCCACAGCCCAGCGGGAAGAGCAAGGACTGCGTGTTCACTGAGATTGTGCTGGAGAACAACTACACAGCCTTCCAGAACGCCCGTCACGAGGGCTGGTTCATGGCCTTCACAAGGCAGGGCCGGCCCCGGCAGGCCTCCCGCAGCCGCCAGAACCAGCGCGAGGCCCACTTCATCAAGCGCCTCTACCAGGGCCAGCTGCCCTTCCCCAACCACGCGGAGAGGCAGAAGCAGTTCGAGTTTGTGGGCTCGGCCCCCACGCGCAGGACCAAGCGCACTCGGGGGCCCCAGCCTCTCACGTAGTGGCTAGCGGGGAGGCCGGGCCAGCTGCCTTCCCAGCTTTTCCCTTCCTGATCCAAAGACTGGGCTGGGGTGGAGGGAGAGGGGCCAGAGCACCCCAGCAAGGACCCCGAGGACAGGAAGCATCAGAGCCCCAGCTGGTAAGGGACAGGACTGCCGCACCCCGGGCTGCCACCACACACTGAAATAGGCCCTTTCCTGCCAGTCAGGGGCCAAGAGCCAGGCCCGCCCTGATCTCAAATGCCAGCCTCCCTCCCAGGGCTGGCTGGCCTAGAGGTGGACCAGTCAGCAGATTCGAGGCCTTGCCCTCACTGTCTGCAGGTGGCTGTCCTCAAATCTCCCTCCGCCTGTCCCCAGCCCCCGAACTACTCCAGGCCAAATACATACTAGGAAGGGACTTTTGGTTTTGTTTAAAAAAAAAATAAAAAGGGCTGGCCATTCTCCACATTCCACAACCCAGGCCTGCACCCCCAACCCCCAAATAAACCATTTGCCTGCAAACGGGGTTATATGAAGCTAGGTGGGCGACGGACACCCAAATAGAAAACAAGATTGCGGGTGCAAGAGGCGCTGGGATGCGCTGCGCTCAGACTGTGGGCGGCGGAGGGCCCTAGGCCCGCCAGGTCCCCAGGTGCAAGGACCGCGGCCCGGGCGTCCGAGCAGGGCAGCAGGTGGCGGCGGCCCAGGGCGGGCCCAGGCCCCTCCCTCCGCGGGCGCCGCGTCCTCACCCGCCAGGCGCGTCCCTGCCACCTGTTGGGGCGCAAGGGACCCGATCCCCGGCCTGAGGCGGGCGCAGGGCCCGCGGGGCTGCAGGAGCAAGGCCCGACGGCCCGCAGGCGCCCGGAGCCTGCTAGTGGGGAGCTGGATTGCTTTTTTCCGGTGAGGAGGGCCGGGAGGGGGAGGAGGCCGGGGCGAGCGGAAGGGGTAATGGGGCCGAGAATGCGTCCTCTTGTTCTCCAGGTCCCCGCTGGGGGCGGGGGCGGGGGCCACACCCGAAGGCAGAGCTCAATTAGAGGCAGCGGTGGCCGGGGGATTGTCGCGCAGGGAGGGGGGAGGGCGCCCCCGCCGCGCGTCTCCGGTGGGCTTTGCCAGGGCTCCAGGTGCGCCCGGGGGCTGGGACTCCCGGCCATAAAGTCCGCCTCCTTCCCCTGTGCCTCGGCTTTTCATCTTTCACCGAGAGGCCCTTCCTAACCGGGACCACCCCCCCAAACACACACACACACACACACACACACACACACACACACACACACGGCCCTCTCCTGCTGATGACGCCACTACCCAGACTCAGTTTCCCCTCTCCTCCCTCCGCCTCGTGAGAAACACTGCAGAGGAGAGGCGAATTTTGGAGAGAGAAGAAAAATGAAAGTCAACCCTTTCTCCCACCCCTTCCAAGAATGGCCTAAAAATAAGGGGAAGTTGTGGAGGGGCTGACTGGGGCCAAAAGGGGGTGGGCAGCGGCGGTCCAAGCGGAGGGTGACCCCAGCCCTGGGCCCTTTAGAAAGTGGGGACCGCAGCGGCCAAGAGGCCTGGGGGCCTCCCCCAAGGCTGCAGGTCATCCTGCCTCTAGCCGGTCAGAATTGCTTTTTACGGGTTGCTTTTTCCTCTCCCCCCATCACAAAGAGCCTTAATCCTGGGGAAGACCGCAGGACATGTTGGGGGTAGTTTTCTGGGGTGTGTGGGGGGCGGGTGGTCCAGAGCCACAGCTGATAACTGGTGAGTTCAATGGGACTTTAAAACTGGGGCAACACCCAGCAATTACTTGAGCACAAAGGCTTGGGTCCCCCCAGGTGTGCAGGACTGGACTTTGGGGGGTTGAGGGAGGAGGCTGGGAAGGAGGTGTGTTGCTGGAGGGGTGTCTTACAATCCCTCTGATTTCCGCAGGAATTTGAGACATTCTTTAAGACTGGACGGCCTCCCCCGGCTGGGCCTCGGCCCACCCCCACCCCCCTCCCTCGTTCGGGTTAGAGACGGCTTCAAAGGTGGACGGGGCCTTTGTCTTGCCTCGGCTTTCTTCTGGGCCTTTCTCCGGCCCCTCCTTCCCTCTCTTTGACCTCCCCAGCACCGACAGGCCTCTGGGGGCTGGTTCCAGAAAGCCCTCACTGTTCCCATTCTTGCTTTTTGAGGTGAGACCTGGCAGGCAGATATGGAGGACAGGGAAGGGCGAGGGAGGGCAGCTTTGGAGGCCTGTGCATCTCAGGGGCGCCTTCTCTTGTGCCACACCCGAGCCTGGGTGGCTGACGCCTGCCCCGGCCTTGGGTCCCTGCCTGGGCCCAGTACCTTCTCCTCCTGCACATCGTAGTGCCAGGTTCCCTGCCCTTTCATGTCCTGGGCGAGTCTGCCCAGCTCACTCCTTCCAAACCTGGATGACATTGAAGATGCCAGAGGAAAGAAGCCAGAGAAATAGATCTCTAGTAACAAGTGTGGAGGGAGGTAGTGTTGGGGGAGGGGCTTCCTTATGGACTTGGACCACACCTGACTTCCGAGACCCAGGTTACTTCCTGGGCCTGGGGTTCTCAGCCGGTGTGAGCTGAGGTGGCTCCAAGGGGCTGATTGTTAATGGCTGATTGTTGCTTTTGGGGGCAAATAGAACCCATCAAGAGGAGGAAGTGACAAGGCGGAGACACGCCTCAAACCCTGGGCTGTTTAGGGTCACCTAGACTCTTCTGTCTAAGAGTAGCCCACAGATTCATCTCTTCCTTCTCTGTCTGGTCCTCCAAATGGCTAGATGAGGCCCTGGGGTCCAGAGCAGGGACGTCTGTCCATTCATTTCTTAGGCCGTGTAAGCTGTTCTACAGTCACATCATCCAGCCCTGCCCCACAGGTCCCTGTGGCCAGTGGCATCTCAGTCCAGAAGCCTTGCCCCAGTCCTCAGTCCTGTCCTGGGCCCCATAGCGTGTGACTTCATGGAGGGCCGTTCCCCTTTTTTGTGGTCCTGGGGATGGAATCCAGGGCCTTCGCACTGAGCTGCAATCTTAGCCCTTTTTTAATTTTTTATTTTGAGACAGGGTCTTGCTAAGTCGCTAAGCTGGGCTGGAACTTTGGACCCTCCTGCCTTATCCTCGCAGTGCTGGGATTGCAGGTGCCCAAGCTCGCCTTGAGCTGCTGTCTCCCTCCGCCTGCAGTAGGCCACCTCCCCTGGCTCCTCCTGCAGAAGCAAAGCCCTGAGAATTCTTCACACTTCCACCATCACCCAGTGTTCCCACTCCTTCCCTCCTAGTCTCTGATGGCTCCCACTGCACGCACCCTGGGATCTGTCAGAACTACTGACCTGGCTTCCTAAGTAGTTTCCACGTGCTTCACTTCATCCCTATTTCCTTCCGGACGGTGCACAGCTGGCTTCGCTGGGCTCCCTGTGGCCAAGTACTACTCCACCGAGCAAACGCCTAGCATGGGTCCCCTGCCCCCAGCACCCACTACTCCTCTGTAGTGTCGCTGCTCTTGATGTTTCGCTGCCCTGCATCCCACCACCCCCAGCCAGCCTGTTTGACACAGCCTCACTCTGTCTCTAGGCTTCTGGCTTTCACCCATCTCTGCTGCTGTGGCCCCCCTGGCCCTGCCAGCCATTCACTGACCCTCCCTCCCAACACGTCACAGCTGTCCAGACTCTATGTACCTCTGGCATATGGTTCTGCTGGATGGCATGGGTCTCTGATGTAGAAATAATCAGTCTTTACCTGCCCCATGGCACAGGTGCACAAGGGAATAATCCAACTTTAGTGCCAGAAAGAAGACACTGCCCAGCCCTCAAGGCGTAAGGAAGATGAGAATCCATTCAGTTATGTAGAATGGTATCATAAGCAGTTAACGCTAAAAAAAAAATTTTTTTTAAATTTTTTTTTTTTTTCTTCCAGTACCAGGAATTGAACTCATGACCTTGCGCTTGCCAGGCAGGTGCTTTTGCCGCTGAGCTAAATTCACAGCCCCTAAAAAAATTTTTTTTGAGACAGGGGTCTCACTTTGCAGTTCAGGCTGGACTTGAACTCTTAGTGATCCTCCTGCCACAGCCTCCCGAGTGCTGGGATTATATGTGCCGCCATGCCTGGCTTAAATTTTTTTTTTAAATATTTGTTTCTGGCCGGGTGTGGTAGCCCACGCCTGTAAGCCCAGCACTTGAGAGGCTGAGGCAGGAGATCACTGTGAGTTCAAGGCCAGCCTGGAATATAGAGCAGGACCCTGTCTCAAAAAAGCAAATAAAGATTTCTTTCCTAGTGTTCAAGCATGATAGTAACCCTTCAGTTAATTAAAAAATGGGCAAATGGAGCTCTCAAAGCACTTGAAATTTAATTGCAGGGATGAATCCATAAAAAGACACCTCTTTCATGGGACTTTTGGATCTCTGTCTCTCTTCTGGGTGGTAGTGGGGATTGAATCCAGGGCAAGCACTCTAGCACTGAACTACATCCCCAGCCCTTTCCAGTTTGAGACAGTGTCTCACTAAATTGTGTAGGCTGGTCTGGAACCTGCGATCCTCCTGCCTCAGCCTCCCAAGTGGTGGGGATTACAGATATGGGCACCAAGGTGGACTCTCTCTTCCACTTAAGATAGTAAGGCGGCCTTTGGTACATCCCAAGAGTGGAAGAGGCAAGAAGTATTGGAAATCAGGAGCCAGACTGCACTGAGCTCCGGAGCTGTCCCAGGCAGCATGGACTGCACATCTAGGACAGGAAGATGGTTCTTGTACGTCACCTAAGGGCTCACCCTAGAACATGGGCACCGCCAGTGAGCACTGCACTCTACGTTCTCCTCTTCATTCTCTGTGCTCTACATTCTCCCTTTAGCCCCTCAAGTGCAGGCTTCTCTGCTCCCCTGCCGGGCCCAGTGATTGCGGGGGTCAGAGAGGCAGCAGAGGCAGGTGCCTGGGAAGATTCTGGAAAGGCCAGGTTTTGTATGGCTCCATGTGTTCCACTGGAGGTGAGAGTTTGCACAGAAGTGGTGGGAAATGGCTGGGTCAAATTATGAAGTTTGGAGTCAGGTGCAGTGGCAAGAGCTTGTGATCCCAGCATTCAGGAGGCCGAGGCAGGAGGGTCACCGCAAGTGTAGCACCAGCCTGGTGAGTTCAAGGCCAGCGAGACCCTGTTTCAAACAACAAAACAAAACAAAAGAAAAATTACGACGTTTGGTCTTGGTGCTACAGCCAGGAGAGGGCAGTGAAGGGCTCTTAGGAGTGGCAGGTGCATTCCGGTGGGGGTGGCTGCTCCAGGGTCCTGGGGGCTGAGTCCAGTGCCCAGAAGGAAGGGGGCATGCCTTCCAGTCTAATGAGAAAGGGTCACTTTGGACCCTTGCTCCTCCTTTTCCTCCTCTGGCGGACCTTCGTCATCTCTCCCTCCTCCCTGGTGTCCGGGTGCCCTGGCTCAGCTCTCACAGAGTTAATATTTAGACAGTGTGGGGTGCAGGGGGCGCATGGTGCTCCCCTCCACAGCAGGCTGTCGGTCCGTGGGGCAGGGCCAGGAGGCACTGGAGCGAGACAGCTTGCACAGAGAGGCCTGGGGAGAGGGCAGGTGGCAGGGCCAGGGTCCACTTAGGACCTCTGGACCACTGACCTCACTGGGGACAGGAGCCAGGAAGCAGGGGCCTGGGACCCCGACTTGCCCAAGAGGGGCAGGAGCCCCAGCACCCTTCTGTGCACAAGAGTGCCCATCCACAAGTCCCAGATGGACTGGGGATATAGCTCAGTGGCATAAGCGCCTGCCTGGCAAGTGCAAGGTCCTGAGTTCAGTTCCCGGTACCAACCAACAAACAAACAAAAACAAAACAAAGGCTTTGAGTTTACCAAAAAAAAACAAAAAACAAAAACAAAAAACAAAAGGGGCTGGGGATTTAACTCAGCGGCACAGTGCCTGCCTGGCAAGCACAAGGTCGTGAGTTCGATTCCCGGTACCAGAAAAAAAACCAAAAACAAACAACAACAACAAAACACAAGTCCCGGATGCCAGCTTGTTGAGGAGGCTGCAGTAACAGGCCCCTGGGGTCAGGGCTGCCTGCCTCTGAGAGATTTGCCCTCTCATCTACTTCAGCTGAGCTAGGGAGCCTGGGGCCTTGCCCAGTGGAGGAAGTGGGAGGCATGGGCCATCTCCATGTGGCCAGGACAAAGAGGAGCAGACAGTGAGCCAGAGGGTGGCACAGGCACACACAAACCAGGGTCCCTCCCAGCCAGGAGTGACCTTGCCAGCTGCTCCCCTCAGGTCGATAGAGGGAGCCCTAACCCTGCAGTCCCCCTGGGTCCGAGCTGTCTGGGCCTGAGACTTTTCCTGCCCACAGCAGCTGGCCCGGTGGAGGGACATCCCAAGGAACGCAGCGTGGGACCTGGAGACAGTGGGGCGGAAGTCGTGGGGGTTAGGAGAGAGCTTTCCAACGCTCAGGCTTTTCTGTACGTGGAGGGGAAGGAAGGAGGGTCTGGAATGAGGAGGAGGTGCCCAGGTCAGGGGTAGGGGATCCTGCCACTGCTGTGTGCCATCCCAGCCAGGGTCATTGCTCCCCTGCTCCCTGGCCTTGTCACCCTTCCTAAACTGCACACTGGCCGTCCTGGGATGGGGCAGCCTCCAGTGTTCTGTGTCCCCCTTCAAGACCAGCCGGCTGTCTGACCCTCAATTAGGCTTATCCCGAGGCCACCCTGGAGCCAGTCCCGGGTCCTAAAGAGGTCTGGGGGAGGGGACACTTGGTGGGGCACAGTGGGAGCCCCAGCCCAGCACTGAGGGGCTCCGGAGGCCCCCTCCCTCCATCCCAGAGGAGCCCCAGCTTCCTCCCGCTCCCCACGCCCGCCCTGAGCCAGGCCTAGGCTGCCGGCGTGTTGTCTTGGCAACGGGAGGCGGAGAGGAGATGCGCCTAGAGATGGAGGTGGATGTCACCGCAGAGGCTGCTGCGCTCCTGCCCCACGCCCCAGGCCCTTGAAGGTACCGAGAACCCTCCCCTCCACTCCCCTCCTCCCAGCCCTCCTTTCCCTGACTCCCCCCACTCTGTCCTACACCTCAGGCCGAGCCGTTCGTAGGAGGCTCCCCGCTCTGGGGCCCCAGACCCACCTTGTTCCAGGGCCCTGTCCACAGCTTTCCTTCCCGGCATCTGCTCATCCCAGCCCTGCCTCCGGGGACCTTTGTGCCAGAGGACAGGTCTCCTGGGAGAGACCTCGGGGGCCAGAGGACAGGTCTCCTGGGGTGGGGTCTGGCAAGAGCTGGGGCAGGAACCCAAGGGGGGGGAACACCAGGAACCCTAAAGGGCCAAGGTGGCAAATCCCCGTGCTCTGGAGGGACGGAGGGAGATGGCTTGGATCAGAGCAGGGCTGGCCTCGCCTCTCTCCTCTCAGACCGTTTCCAGGAGGAGGGTGGGGTTGAAGGAACTGGACGAGGGGCTGGGCTGAGGCCGGGGCTGGCTGTGGGGAAGGCCAGGCAGCTCCTCCTCCGAGGCAGCGGCCCCGCTGCACAGGAAAGGTGAACCCCCTTCCACCTCACCGCCGGCTTTTTGCTCCGTGGTTTTGGGGACCGATGTCCCTCCCCTCGCCCTGGGTTTTCTCTGTGCCCTCCCTGGGCTCCTCCCCCACCCTAGCCAGCAGCTAAGCTGGATCCTTTCTCCCTCTTCTCAGCCACTCAGCTACCTGCCTTCGTCCTTGCTCCCTTCTGTCAGGAGTCACTCTTCAGGTCACAGTCCTCTCTGCCTCCCACTAACCCAGAGAGCCCTCCCCTCCCGTCCCCACCCGTGGGCACACCCTCACCTGTCCCCTGCAAGGCCCGCCCCTGGGGCTTTGTGTTCGGGTACTGCAGCACCCCCTCCCCAGATTCTAGGTTTGCCCAATGGCCGCTGATACCATCAGCTGACCGGCTGTGGGCAGCGGTTACCAGGGCAACGGCAGGGCTGCCTAGGTAGGCAAGTCTGCGGGTGGAGGTGGACAGGAAGTCGGGCTGGCCGGCGAGGATCAGGGCCACCGCTAGGCTGTCACCTCCTCCTTCCCAGGGTCACCCCAAGGCCAGTGACAGAGGCCGAGGGTGGTTGAGGTGTTGCCGGACACGGAAGGCACAGGAGGCTGTAAATTCTGTGTGAGACCACCTGGCAGGAGACTCCCCATTCCTAAAGCTGCCCTGGGGGGAAATGGGTCCTTCATTTTTCCTCTGTGGCACCCCATTGCTATTCCCGGGAGAGTCAGCTTACCTAAGGGCCAGCCTGAGCCTCGGGGCTGGGGACTTGGTGTCTTGTGTTCTCCCGGCTGTTCCTCCCTCAAGAGGGCTAATGACCAATTCTGGTACCTCTGTTTGCACCCCCACCCCAAAAGGTGGGACCGCGGGGCCTCCGCAGCCACTGCCAGACATTGGGGAGCCATGAATGGGGCGGGAGGTGCAGGAGCCTGGAGAGTAACACGTTGTCCCCCTGGGTGATCAGTAACTGCCCCCCCCAGCAACTTGAACCCCGGCAGTGGATGAGGAGGCTTCAGTGGCTGTGTGTGAGTGTGAGCACGTGTGTGCGCGTGAATACTGCAGAGCTCGGAGGTGGGAAAGGGTTTTCAAAAGGACAGCGCGGCCGATTCTGCTTCGTCATGATGCCGGTTAATGCTCCTCTTGTTTGAGATGGATTGAACGGCAGCCGAGGTGGAAGGCAGCAGCAGATCCAAACACACACGCCCCGTCGGCTGCCACTATCAGCGGGAGGTGGGAGGGCACAGGAGGGTGTGGGGGCACCGGCCCGGCCCACCCACCAGCCTCGCAGGGACCCAGGCGGCGGGGACCCAAGCGTGCGGCTTGTGGAGCAGCAGGGTGGGGGCAAGGCGGGGTGGGGGCCCAGAGGGGAGATCAGACCGCTCCGCGGAGACCAGCTCCCCTCCTCCGCCAGCTCCCACCCCACCCACCCCAAGCCGGCTTTCTTCCTGTTATTTGCGCTTCGGGAAAGCACGGCCGGTTTCCTGGAAGCGACGCCTCTTACCTAGGCTCCTGTGAAAACTCGGCAGCCAGGAAACCAGAGCCCGAGCCTCTGGGGCCTCCGAGCCCCCGGGCTACACGGGCCGGGAAGAGGTAGGTGGCAGGGTCCCCGCCTCTGCCCCACCGGGGCGCTTTGGGCTGCAACCCCTGCCTGGAAGCCAGGGTGTGGATGGATGGTGGCAGGGATGTCCCAGGGAGGGGTCAGCTCCAGAATGGACCTGGGACAGCTGTGTCTGTGCTCAGCCTCCTGATTTGGAGGAGAGGGGCTGGGATATCGCAGCACATGAGGTCAGCACCCTCTTCCCTGGCGACTGCCCGGCCCACGTACTTCATGGGCCAGAACCCCAAGTGATGGATCCTGGAGCCTCCCTGCAACCAGGCCAGATGCCCTGAGGCTAGGAGCAGTCCCCTGAGGGGCCTGGTGTAGCTGGCCTGGAGCCTGCTCCCACCCCCTCCTAGCTGTGGCTGACCAGGCTGGGGTGGGGACAGGGGAAGAAAGGGTGTGGCTGCAGGCCGGCCTGGCTGCAGTGCTGGCCGCCGTGCCCTTGCAGAGGCTCATGCTGGGCAGACAAACGGGCCCTCCAGGCCCTGGGCTCCCCTCCGGGCTGTGCCCTCCTGGGGCCTGGCAGGCCGGATCCCTTTTCTGGACAGGCACACCTGGGTCTCCCTCCCCCCGGGCACTGGTTGCCAGGTTGTGAGAGTCAAGGGACCGGGAGCTGGTCTAGAAGTAAGGCCGGGAGCAGTGGGGACGGGAGGCCTATGGGGAAGCCCCCAGGGGATGGGGCAGGGGCTCCTTGAATGTCGCTGTACTGCTGCGCAGGTCAGGGATGGCATCGCACGTGGCTCTGGAGGCTGGGATCGTAAAAGATGACTGCCAAGGGGAGGATCGGTGGGTGGGTGCGAGTGGGTGTCCTCAGCGCGTGTGTCACCATGTGGGGGCCCCGCTGGGAGAGTGGGGGTGTGATCTGGCAGGCAGGGCCCTCCGCGTGCGCCCCGCGTGCGGTTTCCGGTGGCGCCGGTGTTCGCCGGCGTGCCCCGCACCTGTGTGCAGAGCCCTGGCGCTGCAGCCATCAGCACCTGGGCCCCGTTGTCCACGGGGGACTGGGTGTCTGCACAGCCCTCCTTTCAGAGCTTGTGTGTGAGGGCAGCGGAGCAAGGGCAGCTCTGCTTGTCCAGTCTGGACACGGGGCCACAGGGCAGCCCTCAGTAGAGGGGACCACAGCACGCTGAGACCAAGCAAGCGGGAGGGGCCCAGGACCTAGTGGGTGGGGACCGCTCCAGGGGAGGATGCGGAGAGTGGATCTGCGAACACAGGCAGAGAGAGCCTTCTTCTGAAAGGAGGGTAGATGACCTCTGGGTCAGGAGACAGTGCCACTGCCGGGTCCTGTTTGGACTGAGAAGGTGTAGAGTTGGCCTTAGAAGGACTTTAGTCCCAGCAGACAGGATAAGGGTAAAAAATCTCCCTGGAAGAGAGGAAGAAAATGAGAGGAGAGGAATAGCTGGGCTTTGCCAGCCTGAGGAAAGCCCAGTGTTCAGACCTGGCTTAGGGAAGGATGTGCCGGGGAGCCGAGGACTCGGGCAGCCACCGCCGGCCCCTGCCCTGGTCTGCTCCACCCACCCTCCTCTCCCCGCCCTGGGATGCTGTTTTGGGAATGGGGGCCTTGCCGGATCCTGCCTTTATTTCTGGCTTTGAGTTGTTGCCACAGCAACTGCGGAGGTGGGGCTGGGAGGGGAAGACAGAGAGGGAAAGGGAAGAGGGAGCCAGAAAAGATGAAGAAAGAAAAGAAAAAGGGAAGGGAAGCAGGAAGATTAGAAGGAAACACAGGCTGTCGTGTTGAACGCAGTGGCAGGGGGAGGGGGGTTCGGGGGGAGGGCAGAGTTCCCGCCCGGCAGACTCCTCGCACAGCTGGCACAGCTGGCACAGCTGGCACAGCTGGACGCACTTCCTACCTCCCATGCTTTCCAGGGCTCTCACTCCCAGCTCCTGCTCTGCACAGGAGCTTGGTGAGCAGGACCCCAAGTCCTGAGCTCAGACTGAAGTAGGATCCTGGGGGTCTGCTTGAAAAGCATTCCTTGGCCTGGGCCTGAGCGGGGCCTGGGCAGGGCAGCCAGCTTGGGTGGCCTTTGGTGAGTTCACCTCTCCACCTCACATGAACTTGTCCCTAAGTGAGCAAAGTGCTGGTCAGTGTGAAGTTCAGCCAGGACATGGGAAAGTCCCGCGCGCAGCCCAGTGTGGTGGCGCATGCCTGGAATCCTAGCACTGGGGAGGCTGAGGCAAGAGGATCGCTGCAAGTTCAAGACAAGACTGGGCTATGCAGTGAGTTCAAGGCCAGCCTGAACTACATAGCAAGACCGTCTCCAAAAACTAAGAAAAGCAAGTCCCAGCTCCAGCACTGGCCCCAAACAGATAGTAAGTGGCTGGCTTAGGCTGGGAGCAAAGGCTAGACCAGAGAAGTCCAGAGAGCAGCTCTGCCTGGTGGCCTTCGTGTCTGCAAATCCCTGAGAGCCGTGGTCTGGACTCCGCCCCTGTAACACCAGCCCTGGGGATGGGTGGACACAAACTTGGAGGTCCCCGTGGGCGGGTCTTATCACCCACACCCCGGGAGCTGGAGGCTCTGTTGCCATGGAGATGGCAGGGTGGGTGGTGTGAGGTGGGGCTGGGCTGCTGGCTCAGATAAGGCAGGACACAACGGGGAGGAGGACACAGCTGGGGGAGGGTGGGGCCGCCGAGGATCTGGAGGCTGAGAAGCCCCTTCCGCCACCTGGGCTGGCCTCCTGCCATTCCTCCCTCTCTTCCTGCTGCAGCCTGCCCTTTCCTCTCTGTCCCCCAGGTCAGAGTCAGCAGACCTAGGCAAGGGTCATGAGGTGGAGCCTGTGGGAGGCATAGTGGGAAATTACTTTAGGGGAGGGAGCTACATGCTAGGAGAGGCCAAGACAACTTTCTCTTTCCGTTCCCAAACATTTTCCCCGCCGGCATTCCGACAGCCAAGACTTTCACCAGTAAGCACTCTTATTTCTTAAGCCTCGTCCCAAATTAAAATGCAAATTCGGTACCTGTTTGGGATGGTGGCATACACCTGTAATCCCAGCAGCTCAGCTACTCGGGGAGGCTGAGGCAGGAGGATCCCAAGAGTGAAGGGTAACTTGGCAAGATCCTGTCTCAAAATAAGAAAAGGCTGGGAATATAGCTCAGCATTCCCTGGGTTCAGTCCCCGTACTGGGAAGCGGGAGCTTGGGACTCATACCACAGTTTTGTGTGGGGTGATCCCTGGTTAATGGTCTTGAATTCCACACAGTATCGGGTTGACCAGCTCAGGACTCAGTGGCCTTGGACACGCCCCCTCCTGTCCTGGGCAGTCTGCTGTCACTCTGTGCTCTGCAGCACCTGCGATCCCTCCCTCGTCCCTCTTCCCTGCCCGGGCCGCTCGGCAGGCACAGCTGCGTGTGACCTCCTCTGGCCCTCCCCTAGGAAGCAGAAGGCTCGGCTCCCTGACATCCTGTATTAATACTGTCGCTGCCCAGCGTCTTGCCCTCTCTGCTTCCTTCTGGCAGCACCGCTTCCCTCCAAGGCCAGTTCTGTCCCTTTCCCCTGCCAGCACCTTGCTCCATCCGGCCCCTCAGCCTGCTGCCTTGAACCCTTCCTGTCCCTGTGCCGTCTTTGTTACCTGTAAACCTGTCCCCTTGGCCTCCTTAAATACCTGCAGTCAGAAGCCAGGCTTGGTGGCGCACGCCTGTAATACCACCACTCAGGAGGCTGAGGTGGTAGGATCGCTATGAGTTTCAGGTCAACCTGGGCTACACAGTGAATTCAAGGCTAGCCTGAGCTACATAGTGAGACTCTGTCTCAAAAAACAAATAAACAGGGCCTGGGAATATAGCTCAGCGGCACAGTGCCTGCCTGGCAAGCACAAGGTCCTGAGTGCGATTCCCGGTACCAAAAAACCCCAAAGAAATAAACAAATAAAGCTTGCAGTTAGTCCTGCCTCCTCTAACGTCCCCTTCCTTGTTCCCTTGGTCCTTTTGTCACACTTCTTGGGGGTGACAAGCCCTTCCAAATGGGTAACCAGCCCTGCCAGTCTCAGCTCCAGCCTAGAGGCTGTCAGAGGCTTGGTTGCCTTCAGCCTGTGGAGGACATTATTTTCTTTTTGCCCACAGTGCTGGGTGCTGAACCCAGGGCCTTTGCACTGCGCTACATCCCCAGCATATTATCTGTCTGTCTATCTGCCTATCTATCTATATTTTAAGGCTAGTTCTCACTAAGCTGCTTAATTGCCTGGGCTGGGCTCAAACTTTCAATTCCCCCAGACTGCTGGGATTACAGCCTGATCATCATTTTTTTTTTTTTTTTTCTTTTTGCGGTACCAGGGATCGAACTCATGACCTTGGCGCTTGCCAGACAGGCACTTATGCAACTGAGCTATATCCCCAGCCCTGCCTGATCATTATTATTATTATTATTATTATTATTATTATTGTTATTATTATTATTTTTAGGACAGGGTCTCGATATGTAGCCCAGGCTGGCCTTGAACTCACGGTAATCCTGTTTCAGCCTCCCCAGTGCTGTTGTTACAGGCATGGACCACTATACCCCATACAGGCCTGATTTTGTTTTTCCCTGTGGTGCTGGGGAGCAAACCCAGGGCCTCCTGCACGCTAGCCCCAGGCCCTGTGTAAGTTTTTATGTTGAGACGTGTTCCCTCAGCCTCCTGAGCAGCTGGGCTTGCAGGCGTGCTCCGTGCCCATGCTGGATAGCACCTCTTTCCATACCTCTCCTCACCTTGTCCACGCGCTGGCCCCTGGCTGCTGTGCCCCCTCCCCTCATGTCCTCTCTCAGCTTTTCTGCACTTACTGTGTATCAGGCCCTTTGCCGAGGATGGAGCACACGAGGTACACTTGGTATCGAAGAGGAGGTCCCCTGGTTTCCTAGATTTTTACTTTTTTTGGACAGAGTCACTGTGTAGTTCAGCCTGGCCTCGAGATCCTCCTGCTTCAGCCTTCTCAGCTTCTGATCATGCTGTCACTAGCTGTTTCTGCCAGGCCTCACTGTTTCCCAGGATGCTGTTCATGACCTTCTTTCTCCCCAGCAGTCAGGTGTTCACACCACCTCTGCCCTCCGGGCACATGGCTGCCACGTCACCAGGGCACCTCTCTGTGTCTCCATCCCAGACACGCCCATGTGCCACTACCAAAGCCTCAGCCTCTCAGCGCTGGACTCATCCTTTCCCCAGCTCTGCCCGGGAGCTGGCTGCTGCAGGATTTCTCCCCTCTGCCCATCTCCCACCCCACCATTCCCAGCGCCCTGCCTGAATGTTGCAGCTCCTGGCTGGTCTTGCTGGGGACACCTCTGCCTGTCCACTCCAGCTCCCAGGCAGCAGCCACATTCATTTCCCGCAATGACCTGTGTTATTTCTCTGCTTAAAACATTGTTAAGTGGTGACACATGCTTATAATTCCAGCACTTGGGAGGCTGAGGCAGGAGGATCGACAA